ACTGAAAGTTCATGCGCATCAATGTTCAATACCCCGTTCCGAGAAGGTGTCCGTGGCTGCTCCTTCACACTTCAACCTCACTGAGTTGAGACTTGCGATTCATCACCGCTACTCCTGCAATTTGGCAGTTTGAATCGCAGATCAGCCCGTTTCTGCGTAAGCCTTTGAGACGAGACATTCACCATTTGCTTAACAAAGCGGCAAGAAAATGCGGCGCAGCGTACCAGGTCCGCCAAACTCCAAAGCACCTATTGGCTGGTTCGTCGACAAAGCTAGGCTGCATCCAGCTAGCATCCGGGATGGCTATGAATGGGTGGCCTCAAGGAGAAGTCCTTTAACAAGGCAAACACAATTCCAATTGATGGGCAGCTAAAATCGAAGATTGAACTAAGCCAGCCAACAACTCTTTGCAGCCTCTGCCAGGATGACAGCTGCGGAGACGGCCACGTTGAGGCTTTGCACCTGCTAAGCGGCTTAAAGACTAGAGGCCAAAGAGCTGCTGAAGCTGGCTTTCTGTTGAATAAGTCAGGAAAGGCGCTTTAAAAACCTCCTACACATTCAAGCTCTGAAGAAAAGTATCAGCATTTTCAAATTTTCAGGAGATGTCCTTACCTTCGTTGCAGCACAAAGCTGGCATATGTTCTCGCTTGAGATGCTGACTGGATCTGCAATGAACTTACCTCTTCGACCTAGATCATATAGTGAATATGCACCATACAAGGGACAGGAATTGAGCTGGAAACTCCGTCCGTGCGCTCAGAATGGTCTCTGTCGCTTTGGCCAGTCGTAAGGCCCCAACCATGCCTGACATTGGAATGAAAATACGCCTCAGAATGCTCAGGCTGCGGCCATCCCACCAATGCACTGATGGGCAATAATATGCAGAAAGCAGGCCCAGCAAGCCCAAGCACCCCAGAATGTAATATGGAGATTTGAGGTCTCCCAAGCCAACTGTCCCTCAAAAGCCATCACATGACTTTCTGCTTCTTGCAAAAGCCCCGAGCACTGCTGGCAGCTGCGCCCTTCAAGTCAAGTGCAACATGATTTTGTCTGGACTTGGCAAAGCTCCAAAATATCACAGCTGTGCGAGCCCCCAACACAAGGGCAAGTGCATTTGGCCCGAGAAAACAACAACTCCTTTCTTGCCAGCAGACTGTGGCCAATTCCTGGACACTCTCTGACGTAGTCTTATTCATAACAAGCTTGCGATGTCCTTGCGTGCCGCTAACTCTACAATGGAGCTCAACTGAAGACCTTTCAAAACTGTCCAAGCCAGAGATCTCAGGCAGACTGCATGTGCAGGCCTCAAGGGGCTTGACCCTTGCCCTTGGCCCCCGACTCGTTCGCTCCCTGGGTGGCCTCCTCTGTCAGCCCATACTTCTCCTCGCGAGGCGGTGAATCGACCCATTCACAGATGAGGGCTTTTCCGGGATAGCCACCCGCTCCCAAGAGCTTGAAAACGGAGCGCCTTTGGGACCCTAACGGATCGGCTGGAATCACAGCCCTGACATCCAAGTTGTTCACTCACATCAAATCCCGTGTCCTGGCCAAACCAAAAGGCCATCTTGCGACGGTCAAAACGAAGGTCGTAGAGGTTGACCTGACAGCCACCGTCTCACACATGCTGTCGCAAAGGCCACATGTTCCATGAAGCTACAAAGCCCCGCCTTGGCCTTTGTAGCCTTTCGCACACCCTTGCTGCAAAAACATATTTGTCCAACGTATTGTCAGAGACCAATTGTATAGCATGTTCAAACTAGCCCTGCCCCCCTTTATTGCGCCATGCTGCGCTCGAACCCAGCGAAGTGGCGAAGGAGGTGATGCCCTCGCGCGCCAAGTCCTGCGGGACTCATTTTGGGGAGGCAAGGCACAACTCGCTCCCTGGATTGACTAAACCAGTGTCAGAAAATTCTTCAGACGTGAAGATGCAGTTAAGGCTGGGGACATTTGCATAAAATGATTTCAGGTGCTGCCAAACTTGACAAACAACTACAAGAAAGCAGGTGCAAAGTTAATTCCATGCTTAAAATTCTCTGCGGAATCCGTCCACAAGCATAACTTTCAGAATGCAGAGCTCTGCGCATCTCAGCCAGGCATACACCACAGTTTCATCCAGCAAACGGCCTGTGAAATTACATTGATGTTTCATACCCTGGGCTGAGGCTCCACACGTTTTTCAAGCAAACAAAACGCGATAAACAGCCGTCGACATTTGCCAGAGCGTTTGTCAACTGTCGCATGGGCTCAAAGGACCCTGTGCCTGCATGCATTGGGCGGTGTTCAGAACTACTCGGCCCACGCTGGGATCCAGTCTCAGCGCCTTCCGACATCGTGGATCCTGCCAGCCCAGCATGACGTACGAGTTGGTGGTGTGTGGCGGTGGTTTCGTGGCTTAACTCACTTTTGTTTGCCACAATTGGTCCAATCTGAACAGCGAACCATGTACAAATCCAAGCGCATAGAGGCAGCACAAGCTCACAGTGTCAGACCCACAGGGCTACCGAACCAAACCGCCCACTATCCAGTGCTGTGCATGTGTGCATGTTTGATAATCGCATTGCGTCGTCTCCTTCGTCAACAAAATGGCTCAAGGCCAAAGGGAAATGTTGCTCAACTATGGCCGAAGCTGGAGTGTGTTGTACTCGTTGTCTTCTCGTGTTTGGCCTGCACGGTCTGTGTGTGTGTGCGCGTGTGTTTGCACGATACTCTACGTGGTAAGCTCCCCTTTGACAGCAGATTTTGGCCTTGGGGACTCGAGCCTCTTTCCTTGTTGAGTTTGATAGCAACCCGTGTGCCTCTCGCATCCACTTTGCTCTCTCCTCGCTAATTTGAGCAATTGGAGGACAGTTCTAGCATTGTGCGGCGCACGTCATGGGCAAAACAGTAGAAGTTAAGATTACATGTTTGCCTGTGGCTCATCTTGGACAATGACAAATCAACACACATACTCAAATACGTGCAAAGCTTGTGCTCTCCCACAAACACACAGTCGTACGCACCTCAAGAGGTCACTCACATCCCTTACATCAACTTGACCTTCAAATGCCTCAAGCGCCTGAGATTGCTGCAAAAATGAGTCCCATGCAACATCCCGTGTTATTATGCTTCTAATGGCTTTAACAGGTATGCGAGCCCATCCATAATAGGGGCTCTCTCCCTGACGCTCTCGCTGCGCTTTCCAACAAAAATGAACTCTTGCTGTTTGAACAAAACTGCACAGGAGACTTACGGTAGACTTACAATAAAAGGGATTGCATCGAGTTAGGGTCAATAATAGTGTGGCCGCACCAAGACCCACACGTCCACACACACATACACCAAAAAGAAATACAGCTCAAGCTTTCCAAGATCAACACGGTAGACCCGAGTCACAACTCCCCATGCCAAGATTGGAAAGCAGTATGTCCATGTGTCCATGCCTTGCTGCAAGCTTCAATGCACCCAGGCCATTTCCACCCTGTCGGGCCAAAACCTTCCTTTGTGTTCCACCCGTCTGCCCTTCTGCCCCATTGGGCACGCCTCCTCCTTGGCCTCCTGGATCAACCGCAGCTCACGGACGCCAAAGGCCCGGCAGACCCGGCGCAGTCGATCCAAGTTGTGGCTGTCGCTGGGGTTCTCAACCTTGTGACGCGAGAAGCCTCTTCGGCTTATGGCGAGCTCTACCGTTGGAACGATGTGCGTTTGCAAAGGATGGAACACCCGTAATCCTGTACTGAGCTGACAATTCTGCAGCAGCATGCATCTAAGTTCGTGCACACCCAAATTTCAACATCCCGAAAGGTGCTCAAGGAAGAAACTTGGACACAGGCAATGAAATTGCTAAAGACGTGGAGATTCTCTTGGAGCACAATACGGACACTCCTCACAAACAAATGGGCTCTGAGGTTGCCAAGTTTCTGCAGTCCGACACCGATGGCTTCACGGCATGCTGCTCCAGCCCAAAGAAAACATGTTAGCGAGACATGCGAAGCATACCGAGGTCTGAGCCATCCACTCAAAGGTAAGACAATGCAATGATGACAATGCCAACCCACTTCCTAATGACTTCAAAGGCCACGCCGCCACCACGATGACGTTGGAGAGCCAACCATCGGCCATGGCAGAGCGCCGAGCCCGAGCGCGTCTTGGTTTTATGGCGTGTAAAGCGTCTGGGCTAATTTTCCGGATCCCTTGCTCGCGAACTGACTAGCCTTCACCCTGGGTCCATCTTCTGAGGGAAGATGGCGGGAGAAAATGAGACGGTCTTCTTTCCAAAGTAAGCGGGGGTCCTCGCTGAAGGTCTGCCAACAAACATACCAACAGGGTTTGTAGTACTTCCCAATCAGCCTGGCATTTCTCTCAACGGCTGAAGAAATCAAGATGACAGCAGTGCCAAATTGAACCTCTGGTCTGAGCTGGGCTTGGCGACCACACAACTACTTGGCCGCACTCGGACACAAAAACCACTCAAACTAAGGCTATCAAGCCCACAGCTTGTTCAGGATAGATGTGGAAAGTGCCGTCGAGCCTCCTTGCCATGGAGTTGTTGATGAATGCCCCACACCAAGACACAAAAAGCTTGAAGTACAATGTCAGGCTGTGTGTCAACGGAGGCTTTTGGACCCAAAGAGTCCTTCCAATTCGTTCCAAAACTGATCAACCTCATTCTGCAGCAAGGCTTGCTTTTGCTGTCCACACGTCAACTAACAACCTGTCCACAGCTCCTCATTTGAGGTGCCTGAAGGGCAAAGCATTAACAAATGCCCCTGACCCACCGAGCAGGGACCTGGTGGCTGCGCTGTTTTGCGTATCCTGTAAAGCAGGAATTCCTCCAAACCACGGCAGAAGCGCGGAAGAACCTGGTGCTCAGCGCATCCTGAAAGCAATCTGGAGCTCTGCTCGCAATAAAGCATCGGATGGCTGCATCCGCGACTGAAACTGAAGTGCTTGCGGTTGAGTCTGTAAGCTGCAAAGATATCTGGTTGCTCAGCTTTGCCTCCAGCGATTGGATTAACTGGCTTAGAGCATGTGGTTCAGATGTAACAGTCGCGCCTTCAGTTGGCCAAATCGGTGTCAGGTTGTCGTTGACTCGCAGCTTTCACTGCGCTCACCAACTCCGATGTTCCTTGCGAGCATGAAAGAAATCTCAGATCAACAACACGTAAAACAAAGCAAGGCCCAAGCGATCCAAACAGCGAATCCCCAAGCCCATAGAGAGCCCCCCCAACTTGATCTGGTAGCATGCCCCACTGTAACAAAGATGCATTTGCTACAGCCCTGGGCTTCGCACTGAGCAACTGTGAGTCAGCAGGCCTGGCAAATCAATCGTTTCCACCTATCAACTTACTCGATGCAGGAAAGTGTCTAGCATGCAAGATGAAACAGTACCTCAAACAAGTAAACAGTGCTTAGCAATGTATGTTGCTTGTTGCCTTAGCAATTCACAGTGCTATTGATCCGCACCTGGCAGATATCGCCTCACAGCTTTGTCCTACAGCACAGCGCAGCACGTCAAGAGTTCTAAGTCTGATAACCAAAGTCTTTCATGCATACGAGCTCAAGCCTTTGTGTGACGACGGGCGCCTGACAGCATGAGATGAACGAAGGCGATATAAGAAAATATAGCATGTGTCTTCATGTGTTCTTCAAGTGGCAATCCCTCTGACCAAGTGTCCGATTCTGCGCTGCCAGCTTGCGGTACTCCTGCCATAAAGCACCAGCAACAAATGCGGGCTGATCTAAAAGCTGAAGATGAGGGATGCAAGCAAACGACCGCCTGCTGGTTAAAGGTAGCGACAATAAACACCCGAAGGAGTCAAGCAACAGTCCCAGCGTGTTGTGAAACTCAGAATCGTGGCACTAGTGTAAGTCAAACAGCGTGTATCTCAATTAACTTTGCCCAAGCATCCATGTGCAAAGTGTCTCCACAAACTTAAAACTCCGAAGCCAGCCGAAACCATTGCCGTTGTGCATGATCATCGCTGTGCCTGCTCGTTTGACGGCTAAATTCATGCAAGGTTTTGTTTCCAATGTGCAAAGCCGCATTAGTTCAAACAGCCGCAACAGGGTAGCAGTATGAAAGAGCCATGACCCTGATGTGTGCGATGCTTCTAAGTTAAACTCATCACCAAACCCCTCCTGGCGCAAGCGATCGATCTCGCTCAGCAGGCTGCCAGAGCGGTCGAAGGAGGCCAGGTCTGGCACCTAAGTCACATGCTGTTGGGCAGGGGGTCCTGCTGTGTGAGCCTCGTTGAGGGTACAATATTGTTGCTCTTGACAGTCACGTGGCAACTGCTTGAAAGCTGGACTTGAATGGGCAGAAACAGCTTTTCATCTGCGCAAAGCGCATGGCATGCGCTTCGGGCCGTCTATCCAAGTGGTTTCTGAAATGAAGATCTATCCGAGTTGCGACATCCGTGCGCTTGGCGTCCAGAGCTTCCCAAGTCAGGTCCGGGTGCATGACTCGGATCACCAGTGAGATGCGCTCCTGTCAAACTCCAGGCAGAAAGGTCATCACTTCCGATCGCCGTGGGGCTTCAGTACGTGTGGCAAAATACATCACTGCAGTTGGGAGCACGTGCTTGATGGATCTCTCCAATCCGTAAGGGTCGACAAAATCCTGTCTTGGGGTAAACGATGAGAAAGCGATGCACAAGGCAAGAATTCACTAACAATACTTACATGATGTGAGAAACCCTCAGCTGGTCGCTTGCTGCTTAGCTTACCTTTGAGTGTGGATCCGTCCCATGGGTGCCAACATGCGGTTCCATCTCCAATGATGCTGGTGCGCGCAATTATTGAAATGTGAGGCTCAATGTATTCTGGTGAATCAATCGCTTCTGATGTGTTTTTTGCTCATTCACAACAGCAGGAACGCGAAAAGTCAATTAACAGCCTGCAGATGAAGGCTTGACCGCAACAATTTCACAAAAGGAATTGCACTTCAGATGTGCTTTGTCTAAGTGTGCCGCAGACCGACCTTGTCATCCTTTCATTGTAAAACTCCCCCAAACCGCTTCATCCACCGTGGCATGCGAAGAAGCCTGCCGCCGTCCTCTCCGGACAGGTCATGCTCCACGGAGTGAAAAAAGCTGTCCTGGACGCTACGAACACCAAGCCTCAAAGCATCCCAGGATGCCTGGTGATGGAAGAATTCAAGAGCACGTTTCGGATGGCGTACTCCCAGTACGAACACAAGCAAAGCAAACCTACTGCTTTCTTCCGTAAATACCTTCAAAGATTTGTTTTGTTGCAGGCAAGCTTGTAGCAGGCACAAACATGCCCTTCAATAAACTAGACAAGCGAAACAAAATCCTATCAAAGCTCGAAACCAAAAACAGCCCAAACAATTCACCGCAACAGCCTCTGTACCAGAAACTGAGGCCCATCACAAATAAAATTTCATCCACAAAGAGCAGTCCTGGAAGCACACCACCTTGCCGTCCTCCAGCAAGACACGCTCGTCCCCGACGGACACGGAGGTGCCGCGGCCGCCCTTCCTCGCTAAGCCGAGGCAGAGCACCCAAAAGGCAGAGCCGAGGAAAGCGGGGGAGGCTTTGCCTTTCGTCCATTGGACGACAAACTAAGCTCGTGCTTCGAAAACTTGAAGACTGTCATGCCCACATGCACACCGATTCAAAGACACCTGTGAAGATTTCGTCCCGAATCTTGCTTGACATGAGTTTGTAACCACCCGGCCTTTCGGCCCAACTCGCAACCTGCCCAAAGGGCAGGACTTTCATCTGAAACCTCGGCCGCGACCTCGCCAACATGGCATGCGCAACCTGAGCCATCCTGAGCCAGGCCAGTGGAAAACAATCAGCCCGTTGACTTCGTGTGCAGCGGGGCGGAAGACCAACATCTTCAAGGCACCTATGTACCTGAGAGTCTACCTGCCAACCTCAAAATCAGGCATAATGCAACTCATGGAGCACAAACCAAAATAGCGTGTAGAAGCTGAGCTTCAGCGTGAGATGGAGGTTGATGACGGCATTGGAGGACCCACAGTGGGCGCCCACCGAGGCGCCCGGCTCCGAGCGGAAAATCACCACCTCCTCGTTGTAAACCTCTGCGAGAGGGCGAGAGCGGGCAGCTCTGAACGATATTTGCTGGGCATCACGGAAGTGAAACGGCTTGGGCGATTTGATCGCTGCGCCGCCAAGAAAGAAGATTCCCATCAACCGTCATGAATAATCCTAGACGATGTCGCTGTGTTTAAAAGCTGTCTTCCTGGCTAACAGATGCCAAAAAACAAGCCAACTGAAGATGTGCCAATGATCTTGAGAAGCAGGGCACAAAGCATAACCCATCCGTCCAAACAACCGACTGAAGAATGAGATGTCCGCATCATGTACACACTCTTGTGCTTTCACGCGAGGAAGTTGAGAAAAATGTGCAAACAACCATGCTACAGAGTGATTGTCTCTGCTGTCACATCATCACCCAGAATTTGGCATGAAAGCTATATCTACACGAGTTGGACTAGTGTTGATGCTTAAAGCGTCGGACTTCAACCAACAAAGTAGGTACCTGTTTTGTGGCAACGGTATTTGCTGTTTGGGTGAGAGTAAAAAGCCGCCATCAGGGCAACAGTGTTCGACACTTAAGCTTGTTCATCCAAAAGTCCATTCACGGACACGCCTTGAGTTGTCTCATGATAACACTAACACACATCACCACGACATATCACGGGCTACATGCCGGCAGGGCACGAGGAGGTTACTTCGCCCTAGAGTTGTCGACAATGCTTGAGGCTCCCTGTCTGGGTCTGTGGATGTTTGGTGCCACAAATGGAGGTCTTACAAAGAAGGTCACCAACCAATATCTTTCACCAATGAGCCAGGGACTTATCTCCTTTGGCCTGGCCGCCGTGGCGTAGGGAACCCCCGGCTTGGTGGGCAGCTCTGGCAGGAGCAGCCGGCAGGTGGCGGGCATGCGGTCACAGAGCGAGGTGTTCCAGTCGTGGCCTGCACGAAAGGGGAGGATGGAGAAAAAAGGAAGACAACTCGCCAAGTCAGTAAAGCTGAAATTCAGGAAAAAAGCAAAGAACTGGTTGTTGTTTGGACTTGTAGAATTTGACCTCGAGAAGAAACACAAGGCCAGGTGTGTGTGTGTGTGTGTTTTTGTTGATGTTCAGTCGATGTCTTGCGATTGTGTCCAAGAGGATCACCAAGGGAAGAGAGCCGAGCAACTGAAACGGCATTCAAACCAAAAAGTCAGTTCATGTTCAGTTCATTTGTCAAAGCATCCCCGAGCAACACCGCTTCGGAGGCAGAAAATGAACTAGAGAGCTGTCAACAAACCCATAGAATGAATAGCTGCATGGATTTTGGAAAAAGTAGAAGGCAGAAAATAGATCCAATGACCGCTTCAGTGGTGCTGGATTGGAAGAGTTTGAGCAACAGCAAATCCTTGGCTGTTTGTATTGCATACCCAACAAAACAGCAGACTGCAGCTTTAGTCGGCTTTGGTATTTTGAAGGTTTTCGTGCCGACTAATGACTTAGGCCAGCAACAAGCTTGAGCGCAGGTGAAATGCCCTTTGCCCTCCGGAATCGACAAACCTGCAATCTTGCGGGTCTGCAAATATAATCCATGGAAGACATCATGCACTTCTTTCGATGATGTCCAGTGGATTTACATCAAGTCTTATCCTGAAGACTTGCTCCAACGGCTGTCACGAGGCTTTTTGGACAGCTCAATTACTGCTTCCGTTTTTCCGTTTGCGGTGTTGTTCAGCTCCGAAGTGGACTTCTGGGAGCGTTACTTATGATTGGCAGCCACCAAGGTTTTGGGGTTCCCTTCAGCCCGCAGACAGCCCCACGAGCGGTGGCAGTTGTTCCTGTCACAGGGTGCTTGAAAAGCTGCTTCACATTCAATGGATACACCTGTCAGGTTTCAGTGATCTGAACCTATCCGAAGCTTTATCAGCCCCCCCTGCCTCGGTAGAGAAAGATATCCTGCCACACCCCGTGCGTCCTCATATCTGGGGCTCCAAACACAAAAGTTCACTGCAAATGGCAGCAAAAGCTTAAATCGCAGGACTGAGCAAGTCAACTCAGTCATTCCCACAAAGGTAATCATTGAAAGTCCACGCTTCTGTCAAGCAACGTGAACATAAAATGAAAGGCTCACGGCCCTGATTTCTGGAACGCCACTGGGTCCAAACTGTGAGCATCCCACTCTAAACAAGCACGTGACAGCCAAAGAGTAGACTGGATTGCAGCTGGGCATCTTCAAGTATGGATACGCTGACATGAACTCTGCCGCAGCTTGAACCTCCTCCAAGATCATGGGTGTGGCAGCCTGCCAGAGATGAACTGACCCAAAGCCAACTACTGCATAGTCTTCCGAAACCCAGCATCCTGTTGATTGCCAAGGTCACGCTCCCACGGTGGAGTTGAAAAAGAATTGCTCTCAGCACTCCTCGCACGGAATAAAGGGTGCAAAAGCCTTTCCAAATGTTCCTGACGCTCAAGAGATGACATGCACATGAACCTGGTTGCAGGTGGCTCACTGCAAGACCTGCGTGTCTAACGACTGACATGTCGTGAAATCTAGCCTCGAATCCCAGGGGAAGATTCGGTTTCAGCCAGGCCTCCAGACTCGCCAGGAACGGCCACCGGGAGCAGTTCCAGAAGGTCTGGCTCTCGAGACCCGGCACCTGCCATGCCCCTCCCCTGAACCTCATTTTTTGCACTTGTGGAAATCCCACAACAAGCCACTCCCTTTCCTGACAACAAAACTGACGTCAAAGCCTGAGTAGGAAATAGGAGAGCATCTTCCAAACGTGAACTACCCCAAGCCACCTCTGATCACCCCATCCCCCGAACCCACCAACCCAGAACAGCCTACAACTGCCACCAACTTGTCATGCTTCACTCCATGCAAGCGGAGGCAGGTATCCCTCCTTTGGAGGAAGCAACAAACCACTCCACTGCAGGCATACGTTTGAGGCGCGCGAACATAGCATCGGACGGGAGGACGACGACGACAACGACGATGATGACCACCACCACCACAAGAAGAAGAATAACAGCAACAAGAAACACAACCAGCAACACCAAAAGCACCAACAGCCACAGCAAGCGCAACAACAGCAAGAGCACAGCAACAGCAGCAGCGACAACAGCAACAACAGCAACAACAGCAACAACAGCAACAACAGCAACAACAGCAACAACAGCAACAACAGCAACAACAGCAAACACAACAGCAGCAGCAGCAGCAGCA